ATTTTTTTCATTGCAGGGGGTTGGAATAATAATAATAATAATAATAATAATAATAATAATAATAATAATAATAAATAATAAATTTATACCCCGCCCTCCCCAGCCAAGACCGGGCTCAGGGTGTCTGACACCCGATATAAAAACAAATCAATTGAAATACAACTTAAAATCAAGATTAAAATGCAACATTAAAATATAGCCTCATTTCAATGGAAACTCAAATCAAAACTTTTTTGGGTCAAGTCTTCACCAAGGCCAACTATCCAGACTGGTCCTACATGGGCCAGAAAAAAGCCAAGGAAGTCCCCAAATAGGAGTTCCATCACAGGAAGAGAAAGGAAAAAAAGAAGAGGGGGAGGGAATCAAATTGATTCCAAGCCGAAGGCCAGGCGGAACAACTCTGTCTTACAGGCCCTGTGGAAAGAAATCAGATCCTGCAGGGCCCTGGTCTCATGAGGCAGAGCGTTCCACCAGGCTGGAGCCAGTGTTGAAAAGGCCCTGGCTCTGGTTGAGGCTAATCTAATTTCCTTAGGGCCCAGGACTTCTAGGGTGTTGCTATTTATGGACCTTAAGGTCCTCCGTGGGGCATACCGGGAGAGGGGGTCCCGTAGGTACGAGGGTCGTAGTCCCTTCCAACTCTACAATTCTATGATTCCATGAGATAAATGGGGTTATCTGTTGCATTGCTGTCTAGCTTTCTGCGTAACATCACATTAACATGGACAGTGTATCCAGCTGCTGCCAGATACAATCTAATATGCTGACAGCTCCACTCCAGCCATTTCAAACAGATGAGGTTTTGCAGGCTCTTTATTTGACGAGCATCCCATAAATGCACTAGCACTGTTCAATCAAGCTGTGTGTGAAACTTGAAGGAAGGATCGGCCAGGAAAGGGTAAGGCTGGGGGAAGAGTATAGAAAAGCACTTCAGAATGATCCTTAACACATTACATACCAGATTATGTTATATTGCATTGTTTATTTCATTTACGAATTGCTTTCCCGCGAGGCATCTCGAAGATATTTACGTAATAACACATATAAAACAATTACCTGAGTTTCATGTACAGGCAGTGACCGATTTATGTGTGTCCAATGGATGCTTGACTGCGCATGTGCGCATCGCAACAACCTGGAAGTGGCCAGAAAAGGGGATAGATCAGGGCAGAGTGGGCTTATGTGTGATTTGTTGACATGCCGGGGGGGGGGGTCAGGAGCGTACACCCTGCTCAAATCGGTTGCCGCCTGTATAAAAACAGTTAAAAACAATGGCGCCCTATTAAGAAAACCATTTTGAAAAACTATGAATATAAAAACAGTTTTAAACAGCAACACATGCATAAAATCAATTCGGATCCAGGACTGGGATAAAGCTTTTTGAAGGCTTGTTGAGACACAAATAGCATATGTGTGTGGATGTATTTAGGGAAGAGTTACAGAGCATCCGGGAAATAACATTTGTGAATCTGCACAGAGCAAGTAATGCAGATTTATGGGTCTGCTTGCTAAAGTTTTAGATTTGTGCTTAATTTGCTTTGCGGGTCTGCTCCGTCCTTCCTGAGAGCACTAAAAACGGTTGTCTCCCGTTCGGCAGTGCATTTGCAAAACAGCCTAATATGATTTGTGCCTGATTTTATACTTCAGTTGGGAATTCAAGTTCTGACTATTTCCTCGTATTAAAATCCTCAGGTCCTCCTGAATAGGTTCATCTGAAAAACAGGACTGTCTTAACAGTCTTTTATACCCAAGACTTGTAAAGGATCGATACATTTCCCATCAGAACAGTAAATTACTTACTGAACCGCTTCCAGTAATCATGATGTACAATTTCATGTTAACTCTTCCCCTTCTCCACCCAGAATTTTCTTGACAGTGTCAGATGGCTTCCCTGCAACCTTGCCCACCCCCCACAAAAGAATAATGGGTTTAAAATGAATAGTTAGCCCATTACATGCTTGGGTAGGGTTTAGCATTGCATTCATCATTATGGTGGAGCCACAGCTCCAAGGATGTAACTATCTAATGCCGGAATGAGGATGTTGTTAAGACGACAGCACTCACCGTCGCTGTACTGGCTGGGGCTTATACGAACTGAAGTCCAACAACCACAAACTTGGCAGTCATTTATACCCAAGGCTTGTAAAGGACTAATACATTTTCCATCAGGACAGTAAATTGCTTAAGCTTGTGGGCCACAAACTTAATGTGAGTCAACAGTGTGATGCAGCAGCAAAAAAAAAGTGAATGCTATTCTAGGCTGCATCAACAGAAGTTTAATGTCCAGGTCACGAGAAGTAATAGTACTTCTCTGTTCTGCTTTGGTGAAACCACACCTGAAATACTGTGTCCAGTTCTGGGCAGCACAATTTAAGGAGGATATTAGCAAGCTGGAGAGGAAGAAGAAGAAGAGTTTGGATTTGATATCCTGCTTTATCACTACCCGAAGGAGTCTCAAAGCGGCTAACATTCCCCTTTCCCTTCCTCCCCCACAACAAACACTCTGTGAGGTGAGTGGGGCTGAGAGACTTCAAAGAAGTGTGACTAGCCCAAGGTCACCCAGCAGCTGCATGTGGAGGAGCGGAGACGCGAACTCCTTTCACCAGATTACGAGTCTACTGCTCTTAACCACTACACCACACCGGCTCCCACTGGAACGTGTGCAGAAGAGGGTGACCAAGATGGAAGATGAGCAAGCTTGTTTCCTCCTGCTACAGAGGGCAGGACAGACTTGAACCATTGGCTTCAAGTTACAAGAAAGGAGATTCTGACTATATATCAGGAAGAATTTTCTGATAGTAAGAGCTGTTTGACAGTGGAAGGACTCTCCTGGAAGGTGGTGGACTCTCCTTGGAGGTTTTTAAGCAGAGGTTGGATGGCCATCTGTCATGGGTGCCTTTAGTTGAGATTCCTGCATTTCAGGGGGTTGGACTAGATGACCCTCGTGGTCCCTTCCAGTTCTATGATTTTACGATTCTATGAACCATCTGAAAGGCCACAGGTTCCCCATCCCCATCCCCATTCATGGTTGCTATTCTCAAAAGTTCTGCTCTCTGAGGAGGGTAAGGGATGCAGCCACAGGGAAGATGACCTATTTTATTGAACAGCCATCCTGACTTGCTTAAACGTAGGTTTGATTTTATTCGGTATTTATTGAGCATCACTCTTTTATGTTTGTGGGTCTCTTCTAGTACAATGAGCATTTGTTTTTGCATCCATCCTGTTTTCACTCTTCCCTGTTTGCTCCACATTTTTCGATGCAATTCTCCACCACTTTCCAAACAGCAAAAAGTCTCTCTGTGTGTGTGTTTATAAAAGTGGAATTCTTGTTCTAAGGCAGTGTTTCCCAACCTTGGGCCTCCAGCTGTTTTTGAACTACAATTCCCATCATCCCTGACCACTGGTCTTGCTAGCTAGGGATGATGGGAGTTGTAGTCCAAAAACAGCTGGAGGCCCAAGGTTGGGAAACACTGTTCTAAGGTGACAGAGCTCTTTGATCCACCTTAACTAAGCTCACCTAAACTTCCAAAATGCACCTGAAGCCATCCTGCAGAATTCTCAACATCTGGAGGCAGCTGTGGAAATGTTGCTCCCCTTATTCTTAAAACCCCAACTATACCCTTACAAAAGCTAGATCTCACAATCAGGCCAAATTTCTGGCTTTTATGCAGAAACCCACTTAAACCTAGTATATACAATTGTTCATTTAAAGGTGTGTTGTTGTTGCTTTTGTACTGCAGTTCTGTTTTTTAATGGGCTTTCATAATTTTTAGTGGTTTTATTTCGGTTCGTTTTGGTTCTTATTTTTATTATCTATTTTCTGTTTATATATATATATATAGAGAGAGAGAGAGAGAGAGAGAGAGAATTTTATGTTGCGAACCGTCCTGAGATCTACACATGAAGGGTGGTATACAAATTTCTAAAAAATCAATAAATCGAAAATCAGAAATGTAAACTACTTGTTCCATTGTCCTTCCGTGGCTTTTCTGTTGCTTTGAGTTGCAAACCACCTTGAGGGGTAAACCCTTGGTTGAAAGGAAAGGCAACAAAGGAAGTACATAAATAAAGCTGCCTTTCTATCAGGTCACGCTCTTGGGCCCCTGTAGACAACCTGTTGGGCAGGGCTGAGGGGCTTCTAGCCCATGTGAGGGGCTGCTGGGCCTCTCTGCTTGGCCCACCAGGCCATTTTGGAGAAGCCATACCTACCCATCCTACACTCAGTGCCATAGGTGAGGTGGGTGGGGGCCAGATCCAAATGTGATGGGGGCCATCCCCAATTGTCTCTCGTCTGCCTTTTCTCTCTGCGTCTCTCCCTCTCCCTCTGCCACCCCTTCTCCCTCCACCTCTCCTTCTGGTGCCCCCTTCTCTGGGGACGGGGTATAGGTCACTCTGGCCTGAAATATGACCCTATCCGCTTGCACAGGCGTTCCCTCCTGCCTCTCCCTCACTCGATCCATTTTAGCCTCCCTGACCCCACTTTTACCCCCTCACTACCCCCCCTCTGGACTCCCTCCTACCACAAGAAATTGGGCTTCAGGTCACAGGTTCCTCGCCCCTTCTTTAGCTGGAGAGGCCGGGGATGGAACCTGAGACCTTCTGCATTCAAAGCATGTACTCCTCCACCCTTAAACTGTGGTCTTTTCCCTGTGACTCCCCTTTTACTTCCATAGGCTAGCTACCTACCTAGTCTTCTACCAGTGTATGCATTGGATCTAAGGCAAGCTCTCTCTCTCCCTCCCCCCATTTCTGGTGACTGTACTAGTCCGGCTCTGAACCCAGATCTCCGGAGTGGAAGCTAATTAACTTGCTGAGCCAACACGCACCTTTTTTTTCACCCCAGCGCCTGCCCTGTTGTGAATCAGATTGTTTCACAGGGGAGGGATATTAGCAAGGCAGGCGGGTTTTATCTGCTAGAATAAGGACATTTACAGCATGTAGAAATTTTATTCATTAAATGGAAATCCTTGGGTAATCTCTCTCTCTTCTTTTTTTGGATACAGGCCGTGCGCTGCTCAGGCTGACAGACAAAAAGCTGGAGCGGATGGGGATTGCTCAGGAGAGCTTGCGGCAGCACATCCTGCAGCAGGTCCTCCAGCTCAAGGTGCGCGAGGAAGTCCGAAACCTCCAGCTGCTCACGCAAGGTAGGAAACGCAAAGGACTGCAGGAGGGAAGCGGTTGCATGAGAGCATACTTGAGATTGCTTTGATGTTCTCCTGCACGAACTGTTGCACAGAGAGGCGTCATGGGGCCAGAGCGACCACCGAAAGGTAAACAAGAATAGATCAACATGCATATTAGGAGTTGCCTGTCCGTTAGGATAAGAGCAATTCCTTTCTTCCCGTTTTCAAAGCACGACCCACACACATTGTCCATCAACGTGCTAGTAGCTGTGTTGCTAATCCTGCCACCACTGTCTGAAAGCGCATTGGCCTTACTGGGAGGGTACACCTGCTTGTGTTCATCAATATCGCTTGTTTTCCCCACCTGATTTCTGTAGTGTTGGCTGCCACTGGCAGAACCCAGGAAATGTACCATGCGATGATGGTTTCAGCAACAGTGCTGTGTTAAGTACGATACTGAGTTCTGCCCTCTTCTCCCGTGATACGTCTAACTATTCTGGGTCTTTGCGTGAGTAAGAAAGGAAGGAGCACTCGGGGCCTGCTGTTTCTAATGGCTGTTTGGAGTGAAGTGTAGCAGCTTAGACTACTGCAATGCGCTCTACGTGGGGCTACCTTTGAAGGTAACCCAGAAACTACAACTAATCCAGAATGTGACAGCTAGACTGGTGACTGGGAGTGGCTGCCAGGACCATATAACACCGGTAATGAAAGACCTACATTGGCTCCCAGTACGTTTCCAAGCACAATTCAAAGTGTTGGTGCTGACCTTTAAAGCCCTAAACGGCCTCGGCCCTGTATACCTGAAGGAAGGTCTCCACCCCCATTGTTCAGCCCAGACACTAAGGTCCAGCTCTGAGGGTCTTCTGGCGGTTCCCTCACTGTGAGAATGAGGTTACAGTGAACCAGGCAGAGGGCTATCTCGGTAGTGGAGCCCTCCCTGTGGAATGCCCTCCCAACAGATGTCAAGGAAATAAATAACTATCTGACTTTTAGAAGACATCTGAAGGCAGCCCTGGTACGGAAGTTTTTAATATCGTGCTTTTAATACGGTGATACCCCGAGTTACAAACGCCTCAGGTTTCAAACGCTTCAGGTTACAAACTCCGCTAACCTGGAAGAGTTACCGGTACCTTGAGTTGAGAACTTTGCCCCAGGATGAGAACGAAAATCGTGTGCCCGCATTGCAGGGGCAGCAAGATGCCCCATTAGTGAAAGCACGTCTCTAGTTAAGAACAGTTTCGGGTTAAGAATGGACCTCCAGAATGAATTAAGTTCATAACTAGAGGTACCACTGTATTCTGTTGGGAGCCGCCCAGAGTGGCTGGGGAAACCCAGCCAGATGGGCAAGGCATAAATAATACATCATCACCATCTTCATCTGATCCCACTGTAAATTATTCTACACTGAGCCTCACCAAACATGTCACAAAGAAAACGCTCCTAGCTGTATGGCGAGGAGGTGTCTGACTAGTAAATTATCTTCAGTCACAGGGCTGAAGGAACTGGGAAGTTTGTGCCCATGTAGCATCTCAGTATAGGGACGTGGGTGACGCTGTGGGTTAAACCACAGAGCCTAGGACTTGCCGATCAGAAGGGCGGCGGTTCGAATCCCCATGACAGGGTGAGCTCCTGTTGCTCGGTCCCTGCTCCTGCCAACCTAGCAATTCGAAAGCACGTCAAAGTACAAGTAGATAAAGGTAAACGGGAAGGTAAACGGCATTTCCGTGCGCTGCTCTGGTTCGCCAGAAGCAGCTTAGCCATGCTGGCCACATGACCCGGAAGCTGTACGCCGGCTCCCTCAGCCAATAAAGCGAGATGAGCGCAGCAACCCCAGAGTCGGCCACGACTGGACCTAATGGTCAAGGGTCCCTTTACCTTTACCTAGCATCACGATACTACAGCAGCTGGTAAAGAGAGAAGCATGCACTTTGGACACTGAACATGTTGCCTGACATTTCTGGTTCCCTTTTTCAGTGAGAATTATTCAGGCAACTGGGAACTAAAGCATACTATGTACCGGCTAGAGATATAATCAGGTTCTGCCATTTTTGAATGGCTATTACATATCGTTACCAGCAGGTTTAAAAAAGAGTTGTCTGTGGAACACATGCCATTTGTAGTCCATTATTTTCAACTTGCAGTTTTTCAAATGGGGAGGCGACGACAGCTGCTATAGGAGGCACAAACGCTGCCATATGTCTCCCAGTCTCTCTCCTCCTGCGTCTCAACTGGACTAAGACTTTACACCTCCTCCTACTTGCTGGAACATATTGGCGGCTTTGTATTACCCATGTTGTCTCGACTGCTGACTTTGCCCATTCTGAGAGTGTTCCCCTTTCTGCCTGGAAGACAGCAGAATCCACATTGCAATGCCTCAAAACTCCTGGGTTTTGTTTGGAACTCTCATGCAGGATGCAAATTAGATTCAGGCTGCATTTAAAGGCAAATCTCAGATTTGCACTTTTCGAACCAAAACACAGCCATCCTTTGAAATTCACACTTCTCCAAATTTCACCATGCAGTTCTCTCACCATATGCATACGTTAGGGGGAAGTGTGCATGAAAACCAATACAGTGGTACCTCGGGTTACATATGCTTCAGGTTACAGACGCTTCAGGTTACAGACTCCACTAACCCAGAAATAGTACCTTGGGTTAAGAACTTTGCTTCAGGATGAGAACAGAAATTGCGCGGCAGTGGCGTAACGGCAGTGGGAGGCCCCATTAGCTAAAGTGGTGCTTCAGGTTAAGAACAGTTTCAGGTTAAGACCGGACCACCAGAACGAGTTAAGTGCGTAACCAGAGGGACCACTGTATCTTAGTTAAAATGACACATTCCAAATTTCAGTCCATATATGCCATACCAGGTTAAGCAAAACATATGTAACAAGTAACAGTTTCATATTCATTCATAGCTTTCCAGACTCTAGGGTAAAGCTACCCTATAACATAGCATACATGAGATCGTCTTCTCCTTCTGTTGTTGTTGTTGTCTGCAAGGCCAATCTTAAGTATATTTTGCCAGGCAGTACACCCTCTCTTTTTCCTATCAACAAGCAAGGATGAAGTGGCAGGTTGTGGGCGGAAGGAGGGAGCATTTTAATGGAGAAAAGAAGAAAAACGGACCTTAAATGGTTGGTGGATTCATTGATGGAAACTCACTCTGACAAATTATGAGAATCCCTTTCAGGTAGCTGGCCCTCGGGGATCCAATTCTTAATGTAAGCCCGCTCAGAGAAGTTAATGCTATGCCAGCCAAGGCTATGAATCGCTCACAAGACTTAGATTGGGGTCAGTAGTTCACGGTAGTGCTGCCAATAGTTCTGGATATAACCCTGGGGATGAGCACCCCAGAGGATTGCTTGACTAAGAGGTATGGTAGGCCTGTCAGGGGGAGGCCCCTCCAGTGCTCTTACTCTTAACTGTCCAAGTCAATTTAATTTGTGGTGTCGCTCCTCTGAAGTTGGTCGCTGAAAGACATCCATGTGTCATTCCAAAGGGATTTGAGGTGTCGCTCTTAAACACTCAAGCTTGTTGCATTCCATTCTCTGGATAGTATATAGGAAGCGGGGGAGGAAGCAACCATATTCAGTATTATGATTATTATTATTATTATTATTTTAAAAACTATGTTTTACTGCGCACACACAAATATTTTGCAGAACATAGTATCCCATTTGTAGATTGGATGACTATATTTGGCAGCCTGTTGAAGCAATATCAAGAGCAGCTCGCACAGTTAGGAGGCTGCCATTGCAAACTGTAATTAATCCAGAATGCCACAGCTAGACTGGTGACTGGGAGTGGCCGCCGGGACCACATAACACCGGTCCTGAGAGATCTGCATTGGCTCCCAGTACGTTTCTGAGCACAATTCAAAGTGTCGGTGCTGACCAGGGATCCAGAAAGAGGGCCATCTCGGTAGTGGTGCCCGCCCTGTGGAACGCCCTCCCTTCAGATGTGAAGGAAATAAGTAGCTATCTTATCTTTAAAAGACATCTGAAGGCAGCCCTGTTTTGGGAAGTTTTAAATATTTAATGCTGTATTGTTTTTAACATTTGATTGGAAGCCGCCCAGGAGGAAACTCAGCCAGATGGGCGGGGTATAAATAATAAATTTTTATGAGTTTTATTAGTTTTTTTATTATTTATTATTATTATTATTATTATTATTATTATTATTATTATTATTATTATTAAAATATTCCTACCCTTTCGTCAGACAAAATCTTCCTGGTGACCCCTAGATGTTTTGAACCACAGCTCCCATTTGCCCCAACAAGTATGGCCAATGGTGATGGGTGATGGAAGTTGTAAGTCCCAGTTTTGGGAGGGGGGGGTCCACATCAGGATGTACCTAATAGCACTCCTGGAGGTAACCCACATCCCTTCATTTGCTAAATCTCATTCTGGCCTTACTGATTGCTGCCGTTGGGTCCTGACCTTTAAAGCCCTAAATGGCCTCAGTCCAGTATACCTGAAGGAGCGTCTCCACCCGCATCATTCTACCCAGACACTAAGGTCCAGCGCCGAGGGCCTTCTGGCGGTTCCCTCACTGCGAGAAGTGAAGTTACAGGGAACCAGGCAGAGGGCCTTTTCGGTAGTGGCACTCGCCCTGTGGAACGCCCTCCCACCAGATGTCAAAGAAAACAACAACTACCAGACTTTTAGAAGACATCTGAAGGCAGCCCTGTTTAGTGAAGCTTTTAATGTTTGATACATTACTGTATTTTAATATTTTGTTGGAAGCCACCCAGAGTGGCTGGGGAAGCCCAGCCAGATGGGCGGGGTATAAATAAATTATTCTTATTTCTATTATTATTATTATATTCCATTACTAGGCCAGATTTCTTCAGGATAAATTAATTCTAGTTCCCAACCTCCAGCTCCTTTCCTCCTCGCCACACTTGGAAGGGCGCAGGCCTGACCTGACTGCCTCAGCTCTCTGAGCTTGTCTGCAAGAAATTCTGAGAGTTTGTTGAACTATTTCGAGAAGAAGATCTGCAGATTTGTCTCTCTGGA